TTTGAAATCCTCACATCTTCAAGTGCCCAAGGTTGAAAAACACTGCTCTGTATAGTCAATCCTAAAGGCCTTCTGAAAAAGCCAAATTTTTACTAGTTTCCAGAAGACCACAAGGGTGGGGGTCATTCTCACCTTAGAGGGGCAAGCTTTTCTGGAGGAGAGGCTGCCACCAAGAAGGCCAGCACTGGTCTCCTTCTACTGCACCTTCTTGTAGTTGGTGACTCTTAGTAGACCCTGAGGCATCTGGGTTAAACAGATACAGACTATTTGGGAAAGGTGGTGCCTTAGTTACCAAGGTCCCAAGCTTTAAAGATAGCAACCAGAACCTGGATTTGTTCTAGGAGCCACAGCAGTAGTATAACATGGGCAGTGAACGGCTACTTTCTGGAGCAGCTTCAAGGGCAACCTATGTAGCATCAATGATGGAAATCTACTTGGGAGACGAGAACAGGGTTACTAGATGTCTGGCAAAAGATGGACATGTCCTCCGTCCAGCAGGCACAGCCTTAAAACCAAAGATCGTCCGGCTTTTTGAGTGTCTTGGGTTTTTTCAATTATTATTTTGGACTGTTTTCACAACAGTAGTCATTCAAACTTTTCTGTATTGTGACCTTGCAAATTGGCTTTCTTTCCCTCATCTGTCGACAGACTTGACAGCCTTGACAAATGTTATTTAATTTATTCCCTGATTCCAGCCATTGGCTTCAATCCAGACCCTTCAGATCTATGATCACTGTAGTCTGTAGATCACATGACTCGTCCTACCTTTCTGAGAAATGTGTTGCTAGCATATTCTTGAAAAGAAAGATTTGTTGGAAAAATATTGCAATTGAAAAACCAGTCTTTCTGATGCTGGAAAAAGTAATTTCATATACAGGTAGATCCAAGTATACTTTTCTGCAGTTTTCGCTGTCGTTTTTGTAGAGGATGCCAAAAAAGTTAAACAGTTCGTGTGTCCATCTTTTCCCCATTTGTCCTCCTTTCCAACTGTCCATGTCCTCCTTTGCCTGATCAGACATCTTGTAGCCCTAGATGAGAAGGGCATGAGTGACAGTTCTCAGACCATCCTGTTCCAAGTAACATTGGAATGGTTTCCACTTGCTCCTTGAATAGGAGCTAAGAGTCCAGGAAGAATCCCCCCTTCTCTCCCTTGGGGGGGAACAGAACCCCATCAAGAATCAAAGGTGACCCAGTCTTGGAATCAGAAGGGGGTTCTGAATTAACAGCCACTCTGAATTGCCTGGGTTGAGTCTCAGTCGGTCTTTCCCCATCTAGACTCGGACAACTGACAGTAAACTGAAGTTATAAAGAGATAGAACAGATTTCTCTTAACTATTGCCCTTCAAATCCTGCAGGAGTCTCTGCAGGGGATGGTTAAAAAAGTCAAGATGGCATCCATGATGGTGTTTTACATCAGTGTTCTTCAACCTTGGCCTCTTTAAGCTGTGTGAACTTCAACTCCCAGAATTCACCAGCCAGCCATGCTGGCTGGGGAATTCTGGAAGTTGAAGTCCACACAGCTTAAAGCAGCCAAGCTTGAGGAACACTGTTTTACATGGAGCTTTGATCACATTATCATGTCTCCATCTTGACTTTTTTTAACCATACCGCGCAGATCCCCCATCCTGCTATAACATCTAGCATCTTTGGGCAGGGTAAAGATGAGTGGAATTGGAGTGGCACTGAATTCCAATACACTGAAGCCTGAACTAATTTTAATTTCACCCTTTGGGTCCTCCAGCAATGTATATCTCAATTTTCAAAACCTGAAGGAAAAAACCTGGAAGAGAGAAAGAACTAATAAGGCAGACATAAGACAGCTCTTAAACTGTCTTAAAGAGCTGGGTTTCGGTGAGGAGCAGCTCAGAGAGTGGATGAGACTCATGGAATAGATCTGTTTCTTGTCTCATCGCTCTACCTCTTCCTCATTCTGCCACAGCTTGAGGAAATATCTCCTGCCTGGAGATCGAGACATCTGGAACGCAGCCCGTTGGAGAAAACCAACCGCTATCTTCATTTCATTCCCCAGAGCATTTCCTGCACCGTTGAAAGCCGTAAAGAGGGGTTTTTCTAATCATCATACCCTTGGCACGAAAGGAATGTTGTAATATAATAGTCCTACAATATGTCCAACGTGTGCGATGGGAACCGTTTTGAAGTTGCTTGCATTTGAGCCTCTATGGTGTGGGGTCACTCTTGATCATCTCAGATTATCTTCATATTAACCTGGGAGGAGACTTGGTTCCGATCTGATGACCTAAAGACATGGTATTAACCAGAACTGCCCAGTCAAAACTGAACATGCTAAACATGGCAAGTTCCTGGTTCTTTGGTGGTTAGCTGAATTTAAGGAATGTCAATATTTTTAGGTTGGTCATAGTTCTTTGGCTGAAATATGAAATGGAGCGGCTACTGTTGCCTATAGCTTTGGGGAGTCGGTGCGAGAGAAATCTTTGTAATCAATTGCAGTACAAATTTGGACTCTCTAGGACAGTGTTTCTCAGCCACGTTAAGATGGGTGGACTTCAACTCCCAGAATTCCCCCAGCCAGCATTCCGAGAGTTGAAGTCCACCTATCTTAATGTGGCTGAGATTGAGAAACACTG